CCAGCGCCCTCAGCCACCAGCCCGCAGCGTGCACCTCCACCCCTTTGTATTTTCCACACTGCGCCTCCTCTGAGCCCCAGTATGCTGTTCTCTTTCCTTCTAGTTGAAGAATTTCCCCTCAGCCAGCTTTCCTGTGGTTTTGGGTGATGTCCCTTCCATCTTTTAGTTATATTTTTGAAATGGTTGTTCGAGGCAGCAAACTCCGGTGTTTACCTATGCCGCCATCTTGGTTCTCCTCAATCTTCCCTGACTTCTTTCCATCAACATTTAAACTTGCTCAAATTGCTCCGATATTATGAAACCCTCCTTCAGCCCCTGTCGCCCCCCAGCCACCCTCCATCTCCTCACTTCTCCTCCACAGCCAAGCTTCTTCAAAGAGTTTTCTGTTCCTGCTGTCTATACTTCCGCACCTCTCATTCACTTTCATTCCATTAAATACAGCTTCCACTCTCATCACTCCACTAAAACGTCCCAATGCCTTCCTTGTTGCTAAATTCTATGCACATTCCCAGGGCTTTATTATTCTTGAATATTCTGTAATTTTGCATCTCTCCCTCCCCCTTTTGTAAGATTCTCTTCCCTTACTTTCTGTGACATTGTTTTCCTTCTAATTCTCTGGACATTTTGTCCTAGTGTCTTTTAGTTCTGTTCCTCCGACCCCCGCCCTCCTTCTTTCAATGATGGTGTTCCTAGGATTTTATCCGTGGCCTCTCTCCTCTTCTTTCTTTAAAGTTCTTCCTGGAGAAATTTTCACCACTCCAATGGCTTCAAGTACCAGCCGCATACTGACAACTCACACATCCACATTTTTAACCTTTTCCTGAGCTACTGACACATGAATCTTTTTGCCTATGGACCTCCCATAGGACTTTCCAGGGACACATCCAAGAGTCAACACACCCAAAGTAGTACTCATGACCTTCCCCCACCATCCCCCAGAAAACCACTGCCCTGGCTCCTCTGTCCTTTTCTTGAGGAATGGCACAGTCATCCATCTGGCCTCCTGTGTTTACATCTCCCCTTTCACTTTCATATCTGATCTGCCCCCCAGTCCAAGTAGTTTGGGCTTTATATTCATTCAGTCCACTTTATCCCTGTAGCCACTCCTAACTGATGTTGCTCCTCTTCCTGTCTTCAATCCACTCTTGACCCTGCAGCCAGAGCAGTCTCCCTGCTATGCAAGTCATGTTAGATCACACTGCTGCTTAAAGCCTCCCTCCATCCCCCAATTCTCAAATACAGGCCAGACTCTTCAGCATAGCATTAAAGGCCCTTCATTATTGGCCTCTGCTCACCTCCCATCTCATCTCTGTTTTTCTTTCCCACCACCATTCCCCCCCATGAGAATCACACTCCAGCCTCATTAAACAACTTGAGACTACCTCAACATGCCATAGGGACTTTGTGTATATTTTTGTAACCCTCAAATACCTTTCTTCCCCCAGTGAGCCTACCCCATCTCTCTGCCTTCACCTGGTTACGGCCTGATGGACCTTCAGGTCTCAGCCTAGACAGTCCTTCCTCAAGGTTAACAGTAGCCTAATGCTAGGTCACCATGCTTGTGTCATTCACCTCACTTCATCTAATGTAGGCATTGTATCATCTCACATCATCATGAGAAGGTAAATACAGTACAAGAAGACATTTTGAGAGAGAGACCACATTCACATAAGTTTTTAGTATATTGTTATAATTGTTCTATTCTATTATTAGTTACTAGAGGCCTGGTGCATGACATTCGTGCACTGGGGAAGGGGGCATCCCTCAGCCCAGCCTGCGCCCTCTCGCAGTCCAAGACCCAGGGAGTGGGCATAAGCCGGCAGGCAGACATCCCCTGAGGGGTCCTTAGCGGGGCTGCGGAGGTGGAAGAGGCTCCCGCCACCTCTGCTGCGCTTGCCAGCTGTGAACCCAGCTTCTGGCTGAGTGGCACTCTCCCTGTGGGAGCGCACTGACCACCAGGTGGCAGCTCCTGCTTTGAGCACCTGCCCCCTGGTGGTCAGTGTGCATCATAGCGACCGGTCGTTCCACCATTCAGTCGATTTGCATATTAGCCTTTTATTACATAGGATTGTTGTTAATCTCTTACTGTACCTAATTTATAAATTAAATGTCATCATAGATATGTATGTATGTATGTATGTATGTATATGTGGGAGAAAACAGTATGTAGGGTTCAGTACCATCCACAATTTCAGGCATCCACTGGGGATTTTGAACTAAGCCCTTGTGGATAAGAGGAACCATGGTACAATATTTTTATAGATAGTGCATCACATTGCTGGTTATATGGTTTCTGAAATGCCAGCCCCACAAAAAACTGAAAGAATGCCTATACTCAACTGATTTTTAACAGTGGTGAAAAAAACAATTCAATGGAGAAAGAACAGTCTTTTCAACAAATGGTGCTGGAGCACTTGAATATACACATGCAAAGTGAATCTCAACCTAAGCCTCATACCTTATACAAAAAGTAACTCAAAATGGATCATAGGAAATGTTCTGGAAATGGGTAGTGGTGATGGTTGTACAACATTGTGCATATCCTTAATGCCACTGAATTGTACACTTTAATAGGGTCAAATTGTAGATTTTATGTTAGTACCCTGATAAAAAAAAATTTAATGGATCATAGACCTAATATAAAAGTCTTTCCCTCAGACTCTACTTGTCCAAAAGCCTTTCCCCCAAACTATCCTTGTCCAGAGCCCATGAATGCTCCCCAGCATAAAGAAACCTCACCCCCCTTGAACTCCTGGAGAATATCCCCTTTATCAATTCCCAGTACTGCTCTTAGGCCCAGGCAAGCAGTGCCTGTGCCCACTGGCTATTTGGAATGCCTTCCTCCAAATTTTCTAACGTCCCTTTTGTACCTAAGACCACCTTGTCCTGTCCAGAGGTTAGACTAAGACCTACGTACTCTCTAGTCCCCATTTCTCTCCTTCCAGGACAATTTCTTATCCTTTCCATCAATGTGGGGTTGACCAGATGATCCGAGGGTCTCCATGACGGGTGCCTACCACAGTATGCCAGGAGTTGATCACTCCCTTGGCCTCTTTGATCTATCTTTCAAGAAACCACGTGAGATTGGACCGCTAGAATGGTATTACCGTGCTTATTTAGGGTGACTCGAGTTGTTTATATGAACAGGAGCTCTGCCAGAAATATTTGCCCAGAATCCTCACACTCTAGAGGTGGCCCTGTCCATTTCTCTCTTGTTATATAATATACCCTGAAAGCTCCATGTTAATCATGTCTGCATCCCCTCCCCACAATGGTGCTTATCTTAGTGCCTTGCTCCATATTTTTCAGACTGAATGCCTCTTGAAGAAATGACTAACATCTCAGATTTACATATTTCTTTTGATCCAAGGATCTATGTTTTCCCCCACAAAATTCCTAGATCTTCGTCATTCTTCCGAGTGGCAGAGAGGCATTTTCATGTCCCCGAGCCCTGAAGTCACTGACCTGAACGTTGACGTGCTGAAAGCTTATCAAGAAGGAACAAACATGCCTCCAGAGTCTCTTGACAGTAAATGGCAAGTGAGCTTCGACTTCAACGAACGTGAAAACAGCCACGGGTGGGAATGATGGTTGAGTGGTTTCAAGTTAGGCAGCCCAGTAGTTTGGATTGAACAAAGGTTTGGCTGCAACAAATTGTAGTGATAGAACATATGTTTGTTGTGCTTTGCTTTAGATCTTCTGCTTCAAGATTGAGGATACTCTCCCAAGGGGGGAAAGAACAAAGGAAGGAGAACTGGGTAGAAGAAAACAGACTTCACCCATCACTGAAATATTTCGTACCTGAAGCACAACCACCTTGAGAGAAGAACATGGTGGCAGCTCTTCACAGTCACCTGATTGAGGGGCTTGGGTTTGGTCCTGACTCAGAGGGAAATACACCGCCACTGAGAGGCACCCCCACAGCACCTTCGTAATCACAGCCAAGCCTTAGCTTGGTCCCAGCAGACATATGAAAAAAGATGACTGTCAGAGCCACCAAGAGGGTGGCAGACTTGCTGTTACCAGGTCCACTCACATGGATCACAATGTCTGCATGAGGTCATGGAATGTTGCCGATGAAATGAAAGTGGCTCCTAAGTCATAAAGTTGCAGGCAGATGGACATCCTTTTGACAGGGCTCCTAGGAATTGAGCTGTGCCACTCTCCCTGATGATTCTGGGAAGTACATATCTCTTCCAGAGTTGGGGTCAAATCCATACATGCCCAATTCCCACCAAAGCCCACTCTCCCCAGGGCTTGCAGGGACAGAAAGATAACCACACGCCTCCAGATTTGTCTATGTGAGAGCAGAGAGCACAAAGTTTGAGACCGAGGTGAATGGACAGGTGTGCTTCTTAGGGAAGCAGCAGAAAGGTGACAAGAAGCTGGCAGCAGCCCCCGAGAGGCCCCTGGCACCATGGACAATGATGAACCTCTTGAGCCTGAGACAACAGGTGAAAAGGCATCCCATCTCTCACCACTCCAGCCCTTCCAGGCCTCCTCAGTGTAATACCCAGTGATCACATGGACCCAGAAACCTAGTGCCCTTCTTACCTGGGACCCTCTAGATTTGGGATGATGTATTACATTGACTTGGCTTTGGGACTTGCCAAACAGGGAGTGTGAGCGTTGAATGCATGTTGTGCTAGAATTGGTTCCTACCAGTTCTAGCCGACTTTGAATTTCATTTTTTGAGCTGCTCTACATCATGTTGGCAGTTTGAAATCACGCATGTCGGGAACATTTACACCACTGGAATTGGACATTACTACACATCAGAATTTTTCTTCTGGAGAGCCAGTTAGACATTTACCAGCATTCCACAGATTGGATGGAATTCTAAAATTGTTTGACTACTGAGGAAATGAAGGCTCAGAAAGTCGCCACTTCTGGATAGCTAAATTTTCTGGCTAATCTGCTGTATGTCTTCTAACTACCAGGCCACTAGTACTCCCACCCCTTCTTACACAGACCTTACCTTACAGGCTGGGAAATAAATGTTGGGGCTTGGGTCTATAGACAAGGACTATGAAAGACACAGACCTGTGTGGACTCATTAGGAACTCCCGTCTGAGAACAAGGGTGGTCAAAACTTAGGACCCCTGCCACCAATGCTCAGTCCACCCGAAGGATAGGCTGGCTTCGTTCTGACAGGCCACCTGGCAGTGCGGCCTGGCTTCCCCAAACCACTGCTTCCCGCTGATGTAGGACGAGCTCTGGACACCTGTGTGTAGCTGTCAGGAACCCTCAGCTGGTCCCCGATCACTGGCCCAGGGGCAGAAAATCCATGTCTAGCAAGCAAGGGAAGCTCAGGACACGTGTATTTAATTATAGCAATGAATTTAACCCCAGGGGGATTTTGCAAGCCCTGCCTTCTTTGTGGTCATAAAATAGATGTAGGGTTGGAAGGAAGAGAAGCTAGGTCAAATTCTTAGGAATCCAGTTATCCCTCTCGATTCCTGAGACGCTCCTGTTCCGGTTTATTTTATCTTTGACCGAGTCGCCTGCCCTGCCCGTGGACTTCACCATCATTCAGAGCAAAGCAACTCTGAACCCCACCCAAACCAGTAAGAAAGAGAAGAGGGAGCAAGAAGCCAATGTCCAAGTCAGGCCCAAAGCGGGGAATAGATCAGCAAGTCTCCAGAGAATACGAGGAGGGGTAGCATGCGACCCCACGGATGCTGGGGGCGGGAGGCAGCAGTGTTGGGGAGGAAGGGCTTGCAGAATGGAGTCCCTGGTGTCTGGAGCCACATGCAGCTGGGGGACAAAGGCTGCAGCCCAGACCTGGGAGACAGAGGAGGAAACCGAGGTGGAGGGAAGTGGAAGTGGCTCCACCTGAAAGGCTGGCGGGTTTCATTTCCAACATCACGGAGATGTGTTTTTCTTCTAGAGGAGACTGGAACCCAGGCAACACCACATAGCAGTGATGAAACGCTCTACTGTGAGGCTGAAACCGCCCCGGCCTCGGATAAAGGGAAACCCACCCGGGAGAGTTCAGAAACAGACCTCGAGATCGAAGGTGAAAGTGGGCTTTCGGAGGGGTCGGGGAACAGACCTGGCTTCCCCAGTTGGCCATGGCTCTGCCCCAGGCGTGGGGCCTGGCTGGTGAGCCGCGTGGGCACCTCAGCTTGTTGAATGCTGGACCAGTCAGTGAGCGGGGATTTCTGGTGTCCCAAATGTTTCCACACGTGGCATCCTGTGTCACCTTCACCACAGCCTCAGGAGGGAGGCATTATTACCTGCCTTGACCGAGGAGGAAACTGAGGCTTAAAGAGATTGTGTGAGTTGCCCGAGGCCACCGAGAGCTTACCAAGGCTTGCTGACGCCAAGTTCACCCACCCTGCCAATCTGCCTCCAGCATTCCATATCCCAGGGGCCACTGGCGTGTTTGTGGCCCGACCTGCATCCTGGGGACATTCGTCTCCTCACACTGGAGTTTGTGTTCCCCTGTGTGAGAGCCCCTGACAAATCCAAGTGTGTGGCCCTGGGGGGTGAGGGTGGGGGACTGTCTCAGCTGCAGCAAAGACTCTGTTACTGCAAACAGCCCCTCCACCTTCCTCTTCCTCTTCCTCTTCCTCTTCCTCTTCCTCTTCCTCCCAGTCTCCCCAACAAGGGAAGTGCCACAAAGAGCACATGTGAAGCAAGGTGAGAACAATGCCAGCCCCTCCTGCTGGGCCAGCCTCATACCTCCCAGCTGAGGCCGGCCCAGGGGCCCTTTCTCTCCTGTGTCCTGACGGCTGGGTGGTGGGCAGTGATCAGAGGCGGTGGAAACACAAGCAAGGCTGTTCTGCCAAATTCAACCTCAAATTCCTCTATACAGTCAGTTCCTAAGCCCCGCCAAGGTCAACATACTGTTCACCCCGCACACAGACCTGCTCCCTGCCCGCCTGCGCATCTTGTGGCTCTGTTTTCTTCTCTCTCTCTCTCTCTCTCATCCTCTCTTTCTTCTTTCTTTCTTTACTCTTTTTTCCCTTTCTTTTCTTAAATTTATTTATAGGTTGTTGCTCTTTTTTCTACTTTTCCACTTCAAGTCCGTTGTGAATGTTGCTTTCAACACTGAATGTTTCACGGTTGGAAGATACGGAACCCCTGCTTCTACTCATTCCTCTCCTCACCCCCACCCCCTGCAAGTGGTAATAGCGTTGCAAGCTGCCCCTACAGTACAACCACAGTGAATACAGCTGGAAGGGGTCAGCAGAATCAGACAGAGCAGAATCAGTGCCAGGGACACAGCCGGGGGTTCCCTATGCCGCTTTGGCAATGGAGAACCCCTAATGATTACATTTGGTGCCAGCTCTGTGCTGAGAGTGGCTCCACTCCTGGTGCCCCTGCAGCTGGGGCTGAGAAGCTGGGACCGGGGCAGGGAGGGCTTCCCTCGACGGCCTGAGACAGGAGCCCGTGGGAATATAAACTGGTGTGAGGCAGCAAAAGAGGGAGAGAAGGGAGCAGAAGTTGCTCAGCCACCTCATGCTGTTTCTCCTATGCAGCGAGCGTGGTTCTCCCTCAAAGGTGACTTTGCACCCCAGGGAATACTTGGCAAACTGGGCTGGGGGATGCTACTGGCCAGGGATTCTGCTATATCTCCCTCACTGCGCACAACAGCCCCTCACAGCGGGGAATGCCCAACACTGAGTGTCGGTCGGTCGGTCGGTCAGCAGTGCCCAGGTTGAGAAACCCTGCTCTATAACCATCACAGAGGGAAGGCCAGTGTGAAGCTGTGCCTGCAAAGGTACCTTCCTTGTCAAGCTGTTGTCTAATCACCAACAAAGCTCTCACTGTCCGCCTTAGAAACGTTTGGGGTGGCTTGGGATCCGAAGGAAAAACAGACACAGGCTTAGACCCCAGCTGGCCTGGGACATCTTGCCAGTGGGACATCGGCATTCAGGCAGGCCCACTGCCCACTGCCCGCTGCCCACGGGCCAGGCTGTCTAAAGCCTACAGACAAAGGCTCCAGGAGGTTGGAATGGAGATGTGAAGGCCTCGTCTGTCAGCTGGCTTGAGCACTGTGTGTAATCTGGGCTAGCTTTGTCATTGGGAAAGCAGGGATCACAGATCTTTTTAGAGAAAAAAATGACATGCAAGTCTGCGAAAGAGGAAAGCTGACTCACATGCAAGTTTCCCTGTTTCTGGATGGTTTGAGGGTCTCTCCATCTTGCCTTGATTTGCCCCCATGGGAAGCCTACTGGGCCCAACGTGGGGTTTTTAAGTTGGTACTTCTCTAAGTCATCAGTAATGCTTTGGCTATGGCTCACATCTTAACAGTGGTAGCAAAACTAAAAGGGAAATGGAGACTCCTTCAACCATCACAGATCGCCAGCTTCTCATCTGGCTTTTCAGAGCTGCCCCAAGGGGAGACTAGGCCTTCATGCACCCTGGGTGATCAGTCCCTGGACACGGCCAAGCCAGGAAGCCTGGGTGGGGCTCCTTCTCTGAGGGGAGCCTGGGGCCTAGGAGACACCCATTTGAGGCTTTCTGGACGTGAGTCTCCCTCCCACTGCTGGCTGACTTCCCAACTGGAACTGCCCTCTAAACTGACACCCAAGGGACAGATCAGAAGGGAACATGGCCTGGTGTCAGAGGAGATAAGGCAAAGGCAGAAGAGAATTCACATCTTTTTCTGCAGATACTGAGAAATATTTCACCACCGGGCAAAAGGAGCTGTACATGGAGGCCTGCAAACTGGTGGGCGTAGTGCCTGTCTCCTACTTTATCCGGAACATGGAGGAGTCCTACATGAACCTCAACCACCACGGGCTGGGCCCCCACGGTACTAAGGCCATTGCGATCGCCCTGGTGGTGAGCATGCCCGTGGAGGCACATGAAGCCTGGCAGAGGTGGGGGC